TGTGTGTGCGTGTGTGTGTGCATGGCGGTGTTGTAGCCTGGTGTAATTCTCTTACGAATTGGACTAAGCCGGGGAACGGAGTCTGATGTCACATGTGCTTCATCGGAGGAGACGGGGCATCTGCAAGCTGGATTTTGTGGAGGATGCTGCGGCAAGTGATACACAGAGGGCTCAAGGCTTCGTTCTACTGGCTGGGCTTATTCGTTAGCAGGCACCCCGTTTTCTTCCTCACCGTCCCCGCGGTCCTCACCATCATTTTCGGATCTACCGTGCTCAGCCGATTCAAGCCGGAGACGGACCTGGAGGTGCTGGTCGCCCCTACTCACAGCCTCGCCAAGATCGAGCGGAGTCTCGCCAACAGCCTGTTTCCCATCGACCAGTCGAAGCACAAGCTGTACTCGGATTTGCACACCCCGGGCAGATATGGCAGGCTGATCCTGCTCGCCAAGCCCGGGGGGAACATCCTGGAGCTGGCCGACCAGGTCCTGCAGGTCCACAAGCAGGTGTTGGATTTGCGCGTCAATTACAAGGGATTCAATTACACATTCGCGCACCTCTGCGTCTTGAGCCACAGGGACAAGCGCTGCCTCTTGGATGATATCATCACCATCTTCGAAGACATCAGGCAGGCTGTGCTCTCTAACAGCACTTTCCATAAGGTGCCCGTGAGCTATCCAAACACAACACTAAAGGTGAGATTTCTACTGCACACTGCAGCTCCTCTCACATGCATGTCAGCGAGGCCTGTGCACACTATCCCCCCCCAACCAAAAAAAATCCCTCCATCAGAGCCGTGACAGTGCAGCAGCAGCCAGCATGTGAATACGGGCTGGCCCTAGAGCTTGCCATAATTTCTGAATGAACAGCGGGCTGGTATTGAGGCTGTGATGTGGGGCTGCAGATTGCCACATATATCAGCCGGAGAGGGAACCCTCTGTATAACACACACAGCCGGCTTTGCAGTTTTCACCCTCCCTCGTTGGTGCAGGTGAATTGATTGGCTGCATGTAGCCCCTCACTGCCTTGCTCTCTCTTCTTACACACACACTGAAACACACACACACACACACACAGGGATATCCTGCCTTTTTTTATGCAGTGTTTCCCTCTTTGCCTTCTCCCCGGCTGCACATGCAGCATGACATGGCTCCAGTGGCTGATAGACTCCCAGGTATCCTGCTTGACTGGATCTCCCTCTCAGTTGGTCGGTGGGATCTGACTGCACAAATGCCGCGTGTCGATCACACGCAAGCTTTTTGCAGCAGTAACACACAGCAGAGCATGTGGAGAGGTACAGGGGCACATTCAGGAGATCAAGTGCAGATGTGCTCTGCAAACGGAGGCTGCTGCTATTGGTCTGATCAGGCTTTTATACTAAAAAGCTGTTGCACACATGTATGATTTGTACTATTTGCCAAGGTTATTTATTGTTTTACAGATTACACAAGTTGTCATTATTACAACACAAGTGCAGTGCAGTGCAAGGTGAACCAGCTGCATGATGTGAAGGGACAAAGCGTTTTTATCATGCTCTATTGTATGGCCTTGAGGCACATTCACACCACTGTACAGGTTTGATATTATATGGACATAAGAACACCCAAAGCCACTGTAACAGCCAGCTTATTCAACACTATAGGCAATTAGATTCATGAAGTACACAGCACACTGCCACACACACACACACACTGTCAAGTCAAACTGACGCAAGCACATATTCATTGTATCACAGGTCTGCTCTCCAGCATGACAGGTTGTAACTGCCATTGAGAGCTGCCACAGCGGTGTGAGCTATCTGAGCAGCATCAGTGTCTGAGTGGAGTTGCGAGGCCATTCACCGTCCTGTTGCAGACTGGCTCCTATATTCAGGTTAAGGGACACAGTGTATTCTTGTTTTGGATGACAAGTGGGGGTCAAATATGGGGTGTGAAATGTGCACTTTTAAAGAAGCCTATTTATACTTTTTTATATTATTTATATATTTATTTTATTGCCTCTGCATACCATTGCTGTTCAGTGAAGACCATGTATTTCCACATCTGGTGATCTAGACCTTTCTGACAAACTAGAGGATTTGTTTATGAGTTGAGAAAATTGTACCTGATAAGATAAATAAACCGTTTCAAAACACACAGAATAATCTGAAAATGCAGTGTCACATATATAAACCCAGGCAGAGTTTCTTATCTTATAAAAGTTGGCTTTTTTAGAGATGCATGGTTTTCACAGGGCATCAGCCATGTTGAGATTTTACAGAATTTTTGACTGGTCATAGCCAGAAAGAGCACATGTAGAACTGATAACATTAACAGTGGCTCAGTTCCATTAAGAGTCCCAGTTAACCAGCCAGCACGCACAATACCAGGAGCTCCCCTACAGAAAAGTGGAATGCAGGCGCAGCCATCATTAATGTCCTTAAACATGCCTTTCTGCTATCACATCTCAAAATATGTGCAGTGAGAAAGTTCTGTTGCTTTACTGTGTCATTATACTCAGAAAGCTGCACAATGTATGTTCATATAGAAATGATCAGTGTACAGTTTAATGTAAAGAGAAAATATATCCATGTAATTAGAATGAGTCACTTGACTCTGTTATCACAGAAAGAATACACGGCCACTTAAAGAATACGGTAGTTTACTATATTCTGTATTAAATACATACATGTTTGCAGTAATATCTCCTTTATAATCTACCTTTTTTGTATTTTGTATTTCTGTATTTCTCACGTTGTCATGGCCTTCTGATTGATACAAATACATAGATTTTCTCATTTACCCATAGTTGTAGGTCTGCCTCTGAAAACTTCTGGTGCAGAGTTTTGTTTTTGAGTCTTTGAGGTTACATAAGAAGTAGTTCCAGTGAGAGCTGCTAGCAGCGAGGTCTGTGATTTATCCTGTGTAATAGGACATTGTTATTGGAACGACAAGTTGCTGTTGAGCTTTTCAGATGCTATTGTTCCAATCATTTTTCAAGCAAAAATGGCAAAACATTCGATGGTTTCAGCTTCTATAAAGTGACAATTTTCTGCTTTTCTATGTAGGGCCGTCCCCAACTAAAGATTCCTAGTCGACTGGTAGTTTTTAGTTCAAGCCATTAGTCGACTAGTCATCACACGTTTGATTTCAATTAAAATCTCTTCTGCTTTTTTAAAAAAAAAAAGTCTGGTAAATGATAACTTCCACTGTCACTAAAACAAATACTCTTGGACTTACTAAGTATGGAATACTCATCGATATGATGGATGATGTATAATAACTTACGAATTAACTAGCTACAAATTTGCTCCTCTCACTGCTGCACGCCTGTCCCTGCCTGAACCTGAGTCTCAATCCCAGGGCGTCAATTGCAGATGTTTTGGGACCCTGGGAATAAGACTAAACAATCAACTATTTTCAAGTCTCCAACCCAAAGCAGCTTTATATCTTTCTGGGCTCTGATTGGTTGTTTTCGTTCAGGCACGGTAGATTTTACAAATGTCGTTAGGATCACTAGGAGGCCAGAGGAACCAGATTTTTTCACAGATTGTCTGTCTCGTATTCTACTGTCAGGATATAGTGAAGGTTTCAACAAATATATAACAAGTTATTTTCATAAAAGTTACCCATCATCAATAACTCCTTTCCAACATGAATTAGTTCTTCTGTTGTTGAAGGTTGATGTGACCTCCTTCCTCTCCAGCTCTCCTCACTCTGTATCAGGCTCTCCGCACCCTCCATGTTCCTGAATCCTTCTTCTCTCTGTCTGCCTGTTTGACGAGCTGTCCGGGCTAATTCATTTGCCTGACTTCTTATGCCTCATCCTCCTCTTTGATGTCACAACCCGGGGTTTATTTCTGTGCTTGTTATACAGACATAGTCTTCATAGAAAGTCCTACTTTTTGCTGAGCTGAACTTTAGCTGTGTTCCCAGGAGAAAATGCTTGAAATATATATTCTTTGTTTTGCTCTGTCTGCTGTATTTTCAGTTTTGTAATCTTTTTTTAAAACTGTCAGGTATAAAAATACATCAAGGATTATGATGAAAAAGAAATGGGGATGTATGAACAATTTGACAATTTCAACATATTATGGAGAGCAATGTTTCAATATACTAATGGGTATTGATTTAAACATCAAGAAGTACAAATAAGCAGCATTGTGAGCAAATCTGAGATGTGAGAGATGTGAATACCTGGCAGCTCATGTACTGTGGTTTCATCCAGCAACCACATCACCGTGCTAATGTCCGATGGTTAATTAGAGCTTGTTGATTGCTGGTTGAAGTGCCAGAGTTGTTACAGCAACAGACTGAACATATGGCAACGCTGGTATGTGATTATCTGCTGATAGCCAATAGGTTCCCAAATATTTGAGTTTTTCCCTTACTGTCAGTCAGGGCACAGCTTGTCTCAGGTCATACAAATACGGAATTCAGCTTTCCAGTTGCCCAAATGTTATAGATTAACATGAGTTGTAGTTGGATACGGAAGCTTGCCGTGGGCATGGCTGAAAATAATTTTTTTCCCAAAACATTGTTACATGATCTCGACTTAATTATCTCATGATTTTGCGTTACATTTTTGAGGCTGTGGTCACCACAAAAGTCAACCTTTTCTCCAGTAGCTAATGAGGTATCAAGCACACAACAATGCCTTTAGCTGCTATCACTTCCAGGTAAACATGGGATACGTCAGAGAGTGAGGAAAGAAGGCAAGCAAAGGTGACTAAACGTAGCGTGAATGAACCTTTAATACACAATGTTGTCTGTGAACAATTTCAGTTTGAGTCACATCAGATAGATTTTCATCAGCAATGGTGGTTGTTTAAAAAAAAAGACAACAACTCCCATGATCCCACACTACTTCACAACTTAGTCTTTTGTTACTTTTCGCCCCCTAGTGGCAGAAAATCAAATACTGTACGTACTGTACTGTACTGTAAGTTTACTTTTTTCTTAGGGACGGCAGTGTTGGTTGGTTGTTCTGTCAGTCCATCAATTTGGTCCAAACTGAAATACCTCTACAACTATATGATGGCTTGACGTGAAAGTTTGTAGAGTCATTCATGCTTTGCTGATCCCCTGACTTTCCCTCTAGCAAGTAAAACGTCTTTTTACTTTTTGGATGGATTAAGATTTTGTTCATTTTCCATAATTTTAATACATTTGGTGACACCATGACATTTCCTCTAGCACAATCTTAGAAATACGATATTAGTTGTTATTTCTGTAGGTCGACTTACAACAACTTGTATACAGCACCATCAATCTCATTCCTGGTTGTCGCAATTTTCGTGTCCATTTCTCTGTTGCCATTTCAAGCACTGGTAGTTTCTCCAATGGGGGAGCCAGGTGAGCACACCATCTGACTCATTTGAATCACTAAAAAATGTCATATACATATACATTACAGTGTGATAATGTTTGATATCTTAAGATATTATGATTCAGTCGATATCTCCAGGTAATGGGCTTTAATATAAATGAGGACCACAAGAATATATTTTTGGATCACTGCTTGTGATCAAGACTGTGATTTCTGGTACTGTTTCAGCCCATTATCTTGAGATAGCGGTTTGATATCTCAAGATAATGAGACAATTAAATTGCCGTCTTGTGATGATAAGGGACTTCATAAAAGAGCAATTCTGGCTGCTCCGGTCTTCCGTAGATTAAAGCTCTGATGGTCTAAATGGATTTATACAGAAAAGGCAGAGGTGTTCTAACACTAATAATATTGTGCTTGACAAGATCAAGCTTCTTGTTCCATTCATGAGCGGACGTTGAAATTGAGTGCTGGATTGAATTAAGTTATTGGGTAGTTTGGGATGTATGCTGCAAGGCAATGTCAAGCTAAGGTCAATGTTTGTTTTACACCCCCCATTCTCTTTAATAAATCATAAAACTGGAGGTGAGAGTGGCAGGGGCCAGACAGCAGGAAAACAGCTGATATGCAGAAAGAGGTTTGACAGTTTAAATGATGCAGGAGAGTGCATGTGATTGGAGGATGGGAGAGGGCGCAGGAATTGGCTGATGGGGTTAGTTATATGCGTGTCAATAATTGGCTTGCCCTAGGGTGCATTTGAGAACATGGCAATAAAAAAGCAGTCAATACAATCCTCAGATGTCTCATGAAACTGCATCAAAACCCTTAATTAAGAATTTCAGCATGAAATAAATTTGCTTAGAATCATTAAGTTGGACAACAGAATTTTGTAAAATGTAAACACATATTGTTATGGTACAACACCACTGAAATCTAGTATTGAGTTATTGCCCAATATGCCCCAACATTTTGAGTGGTGGATGGATGCAGCAAGGAAGACAACTATAAAAGTGTGCATTCATGGCCAAATAAAGCCCAAAAGATTTTTGAGACTGATTGGAAAATATGATATAAATATGACTATGATAATAGTCATACTGATAATATAGGCTAACCGATATATTTGTCATGCTCTAAAATAAAATACGGAAAAAGTTTTTTAAGGGTGCCTTTCACATTGTTTTGATCTGTGATCTGGCGTCCCATTATCCATGTAAGAAAACCCCTGATTTTACGTGTTCTTCTAGTTCTGTTCTAGTTTTTAGGATTTTAGGATTTTAGGATTTTAGGATTTAGCATGGTTAGCATGGTGTGATTTACAGTTGTACTAACAGTTGCAAAAGTTTTATTTAATGCTCAGTTAGAATCCACAGCAGCCAGAATATCCTTTTAAGCTGGATTTATATTAGTACTGCAGTAGATACATACCACATGCGTTTTGATTTTAGCTCAGTGTCAGTGTTAAGATTTTGCCTGTTGACAGATGTATCGTATCCTGCTTTAATTATATTCTCCATGTTGGAGTTACATCCAGGTAATTTCTATTTCGCCTTGATTCATTACTAAAAGGAGTCTACTACTATCCTCCAATTCCCATAATGCAACTCTGTAACATACACATCTTTCAGACTCCATGCACCCAGTTTGTAACACAGTTCACAACTCTCTGGGTTTTTCCCCCGTACTCGTCCAGATCAACAGAGGACAATGTGTTCATCCCTCCACCACCTTCCACCAGTCACCTCCATCTCCTCTCAGAAAGCTCGAGAGGTGTCACTTCCTCCCTTTTCACATATCACTCAACTTCACACAGATATCACACATACGCACACACTTGCTTTTGTGTGGTGCCCCACCCCCCACCTACTCTCCTCCTTCCTCTCTCTCACACACACAGAACTATATTTTCTCTTTGCTAAAGGGTGCCAAAAACAAGAATAGAAAACATAGCTGGAGCATTTTCAAAAACTTGACCGAACACGCATTTTGCAAGTGATACAGAAATTGTGGCCCGATTGTTCACTACATTAGAGCTTGAAAGGCCTGCATGTGTTTAAGCACTGAGCATGTATTGGCTTAGTGTGTGATGCAAAAAAAGTCTAGATAAGTCGTGACTATTGAGATTCATTTGAAATGCTTTAGTGAAGTTGGGAAGTCAGATTGATTTTAGCTTTGTGCAATTACACGAGTGAAATTAGAGCTAAAGCTTTCTGAGTTCCCTTAGCAATTACTGAGTGATTACATTACATAAACACACTTGTACACTGTCATGAAATGACAAATTTGAAGCACTGAGTGGGAGTGTTTTGAGAGTAATAATGTAGCACGAAAATAATGTGCAGATCTTACCTAATAAATTGATATATCAGAGGTAGCCAGTTATACAATGTCTGACTCTAACAGGAAACCTGGCTGTTGACCTATGAATGTTATCAATTATGTGATTTCAAGGTGCAGAGTCCACCATCAGTAATTCATCCTGCTGCCCACATAATGCCACAGCAGAATAACTCATCCAGTTTTTTCTTCTTGCTGCAGTAAATTGTTTACAGAAAACTGAAGCAAACAATCACAGGGATTTATTTATCTAGAAGTGTGAGATTTATATCACGCTCCCCGCTGTGAAACAGCATATTGCGGCTGTTTGATTGTGCTGGATTATTGTGTTCATAACAAGATAAATTATATCTACAATAAGCTGCAAATTAAAGTTGACATTGTTCTGGTTGCTCCTTTCATGCAGGAGTTCAAATTCACATCACAGTGTTGTGTGGGTGTGTCGTGCTTCCCTGATTAAATGGACTGACATAATAAATATTTCCCCCAGTGTTTTAAGATATTGTACAATTAGACCTGGTGAATAAGCATATAGCTGTGATATATGTGCATGATTGCATTAATCATTAAAGAAACCAGGAAGTGCACTGCATTTTTAAATGAGTCATTCACCCAGGAGGCCACCATTATCCCTGAAAGCTAAAGCTAGTGTGAAAGTATAATAAGATAAAGAACCAATACTGTACTTGTCTTGGTTAGATGTATTCAGCATAAAAAACTAACTAATCTTCAACACCTTTAGCCGTGATATACAGTAGCTTCATTACTATCCAGCTAAAAATTACAAATAGATACAAAAGTCAGGGAAAAAAACTCTTTTGCACATAATCTGTGATGCTTTTTAACCATTTATTATAACTATTTAGCTGTTAAGTCTAAACTAGTTAACACAAGGATTAAGTTAGCCATTTTGACCTGAAACAGAGGAATCGATACTAATTAAGGTTCTGTTCCATTTCTACTGAGTAAACATGTACAATAGCTGAATGGAACACAACCTTAATTAGTATCATTGGTAACACTGGTTTGTATTGTAACAGACTGGGTGACAACTTAAAGAGGTAACCACTACGTTATGAGTGTCAGATATGTTATTTGGGCTAACAATGGAAAGGATTATTTCAGTGCATTTCTTGAGATTTCCAGGGTTTTGAAGCAGAAACAGATACGTCCAGACTGCAGGCAAAAGTGGCCCATATCTGACTTTTTAGCCCATATGTGACCCATAGCAGCACAAATCAGATTTTTCCAAATAAGAAATGTAGAAACTCCAGTCACTGACAAAAAATCTTTGTATTGAAGGAGTGTTGGTGGAGCTAACTGGCTAACATATAGATGGTGGCAAGTAGTAATCCTTAATTTCAGGCTTTGAAACCTCCCTTCAGAGACCCCTGGGTGACTAGTAGCTAATTGACAAAGGACATTCTTATATAAATGTTTTATTGTTTCAGGTTATGTCAGACCTTCCTTAAGCAGAGGCGTAGTGCAGGCCTATTTGTTAAAGTACCAGTGCGCACCTATGTGCACGGTTAATTTGGGGCTTGTTTCCAAGGTTATGTAACCAGGGGGGTCAACTATAGGTGACCACACTATCAAATAGGCTAAGCTATGGAAAGGTAGCTAACCAAGCTATCTAATTTTAACATGTTAGCTAGCTATAGACTGGAGAAAAAATAAATAAATTGGCTGTGTTGTGTGTTTTCTCGCATGAGTTGACACCCTGAATCAACACACCTTAAATATCAGTTTAAAAACCTTGACTGCTACGTTTGCTACTACTGGCTCTCATGGATGCTTTTGTGATGACTGGATCTTTAATAACAATTGAGGCTTATATGAATATGAACTGTGAATATTCTATTGGCAGAGCATTGTTTCTTTGTGCCCCGGCAGCACTACACATATTCTTATGTCCTTTGGTCACAATCTTGTCTTTTACTGCTGCTAAATAGAATAGAATAGAATAGAATGAAATATTGTAACTTCTGGCAATTTCAGCGTAAATATAAGAAAGTTTGTGCCAGCAGTAACCTCATATAATGCTATAGTTTTGTATTTCTTCCTGACAGACGTGACAGGCCAATTTTCATTGTCCCAGCTGCCTTACTGAACTCTTCACTGCTCTGCACAATTCTTGCACAATAACATTATCTCCAAACACTTGTCATTGAAATGTCTTGCATGACTTTGTGCTATATAATTAAATTCATTTAGTCATTACAATGGAGCAGCACATCAGCGTTCACAGCCACGTCAGTCCACAGCTGTAAAGTGGGTTCAAGTTAAATAGTAAATCAACACTGAAGCAAATAGGGTAGAAAACTGCTGCTGCACTGCTCTCTGTGGGCTGGAACTTTCTGGTATGTGCTACAGCTGGCTGCTCCCCAGTCACCTGTGGCAAAGTGTTTGCTGTCAAGAGCAACATAACTGTTTCAAGTCATTGGGGTGTAACCAGGAGCACTGAAAACAGATTGATTGCTGTATTTTTATGAAACATTATACCCATCTTAAGAGCTAATGTTGGATATCTCTGAATCCCCTACAGGATGGCCGTGTGTCCTTCATCGGACACCAGCTGGGCGGGGTGTCCTTCTCACCCAACAGCCGCGACCAGCAGGTCAAGTTCGCCCGCGCTGTCCAGATCACCTACTACCTCCGCAACCATGGACCTGTGGTGCAGGATGCCATCGCCGAGCGCTGGGAGAACGAGTTCTGCGCCCTGGTCAGCCGGCTGTCCACGGCTGAAGCGCCCCATGCGACCGACCAGCTCCACATCCAGTCACTCACCTCCTTCGGCCTGTGGCGGGACTTCCACCAGACGGGCGTGCTGGCCAAGGGGGAGGTGCTGGTCAGCCTGGTACTGGTGCTCCTGGCCGCCACCATCTCCAGCTCCATGCGGGACTGCCTGAGGGGGAAGCCGTTCCTGGGCCTCCTGGGGGTGCTGACCATCTGCATCGCCAACGTGACTGCCGCAGGGATCTTCTTTATATCGGACGGGAAGTTCAACTCTACACTGCTTGGGATCCCATTCTTTGCTATGGGTGAGTGGGACTGACAATGTGTGTGTGTGTGTGTGTGTGTGTGTAGTGGTTGGTTTATCAGGGGTTGACACTGGCATCGGGTTGATTGGGGAAGGGATTAGCAGAATTGTTACAAGATTTTCCTCAGAAGGGATGCCAGCAGTTCATTGTAGTTGTTGCAGAATGGTGAGAGTGGCATGTGTGTGTCCATGTGTGGACTTCTTTTGTCAGGCGTTTCTTTCTGTGATTTCTGCATTGAGGATATCCTCATTTGTTATGTAAGGTTTTTCATTATTTCACCAAGCTGATGTTATCCTTGGTGTCGTGGATTTAATAATAAACTCTATTACAGTGTATCAACCATGAGTAGCAACACACATCAGAATCCCAGAGTACCGTATGGAAAAAGAAAACTGCTGGATTTCATTATACAGCCACATACAAATAGACTTATTTCATGTTTCAAATTTGCATTTAAAGTCATATTTCATTGGTGTCACACTGCCAAGATTTGACACATTGTTTGCAGAAACTGGTTGTTTTGCAAAGACATAATGTTAGGAAAGAGAGCCATGAATAACTGGAGTATGCAAAGAACTAGACTCAATGTCTTTTGCATGAACGTGAACTGTTAAACCCTCTGAAATCATTCATGAATGGAAAAAGGCATTAGGAATTTCAGGGGATGTGAGGCATAAGGTTGCAGTATGGGATGGGGGGGTGGTAGGGAATGACATAGCAGCTACAAATGTGCCACTTGCTGTCTATAAAAGTAATACATTTTTATATAAAAAGATTATTAATTCATGTTTTATACATTTATTTCCATTTATAATTCAATGGAAATGAAAAACTATTATTGTGGGTTTAATTGGGGATAAAGGCATTAGATACTGACAGGAAACGAGGGAAGAGAGGCAGGTGGTCTGCATACAGTGATCTGTTAAGCACTAGGCCACCAGAACTCTAAGGGTTCCCTCGTCCCATAACAAAGTCAATACAAAGACACGAGTGGATGCAAACAGTGGTGAAATTGCTTTAGGAGGCACAATTGGAAAGGAAAAAACAACAAAGCACACATACAAGCCCACTCTACACACAGTTTGTGCTTTGCTGGCTGGTAGGGGTGTGTATTTTCCCTTCTCAGACTCTGTATGATACAGATACATTTGTAGTAATACGACAGCTTGATACCTCCGATTCAGTTCAGCCACAATCAGAATTTGATATTTTTACTTTTTTAATAAAAAAAGACTACAGCAAATCAATTAGTTTTCTTATTTTTAATTCTCTGTCACACAGCAATAGTAAACCTGGGCATTGATACAATTTTCAAGCATTTTCATTTAAACTTTTTTAATCATGTTAAGCGGCCTCACAGAATTTTTTCAGGCTTGGGTTGGGTCGGGCCGATCGAAGCTCTAATACAGACAGTAGAGGTGTGAATTGTCACTGATCTCCCGATTTGAATCGATTACGATTATCATGTCAGCGATTCGATTCGATTCGATGCATCACGATGCATCAGCTTCCAATAATTTTTATATATTACTTCATATTGTTTTCATCCACAAATATCAGTAGTAAGATATAAACAATCTTTTTTATTTACAGTCTGAACACAGAAACAGCACACAAACAACACACCAAACACACACACACACACACACGCACAGATATACTCTTCCGTATCGTGTCATTGGACAGGAGGGACAGTTATTCAGTGTCTCAGCACTTTTCCTCACCTTATGATTGTGACATATCCAATGCTGCCGGGAGTATTAGCTCCTCTGCCTATTGGTTGATGCATCGCGATGCATCGACTTATTTGATTAATTTCAAAACCTCCATGGTATTCATGCTCAGCATGACAATACAATGCGTTCGTTCAGCATGTGTCAAGTTTTCAACACGTGCTCTTTCTTCGGTTTAGTTAGCAATAATAATAATAATAATAAAAATGATAATAATAATAATAATAATAACACATTCTAAATAAAGCACAGTTTGGTTTTGGCAACACAACTTACCTGACAAGTCAATGTTGATTTCTGACCCATCCATCCAGACCGGCGCCCTCCTACATGGAACACCTTCACACATGTGTACTTTTCATGTCTAGGTGAGGCAAAACGGGACACTGACATAGTATCTTTACCTCTTATTGCCGTGAGACTGGGCTGGACAAAGAGGGTTTGGAATATCAGTTTTTGACAGCTGTATTGATTTTTTTTTAAATAAATGCAAAATTTGGGTTGGATATTTGGCCAGCTATAGCTGATGTCTGTACAGTCGATACTTTGGCTATGGTTGGCTGTGTAGAAAATAAACAGACTGCAAAAACACACAAATACATTTATCCAATAACAAACATTATGTCTGAATGCCCCTTTAGGAGCTAAATTTGAATAACAGGAGATGCATTGCCAAATAAAACTGTGTATGGCTTATCCCTCCCTCTTTTTTCTCCCTCTCTTTGCTCCTTCACATATACTGTGTCCGTTTATACTACAGTATATCTTGCATTTCCTCCCCGTGCGTTCCTAAGGTCAATGGATCCCTGGGGCTTTTGCAGAGCTCTGCTGCAGGCCGGCTGACATAACTGAAGTTTAAGTAAGACTCAGGAACAGGAGGCTGGGTCCGCTACTTGTGACCTAGAGGCAGGGGAGGAGAGGAGAGGAGAGGAGAGGGGGGGAGGTGTCGTGGTGAGAGAGGCTAAAAAGGAAAGTCAAGGAGAAAAGAGCGAGGAGTAAAAATGAATGTGATGTATAGGAAAGGAGGATGTAGGGGAGGCGGGGGCAGGCAGAGACAGAGAGGAGAGGTAGAGTAGAGGGGAAGACGGCGAGAAAGTCACATAGAGAGGGAGGAGGTGGAGAAGGGCAAAGAAGATGGAGAGGACTTGATTAAGTCTGTAATTTCATGTGACAGGACCTCAGAGGCAGCAGATGTCCACCCTCCTCTTGGGAGGTCCTGACTGAGGCACACCCCTATCACTATATCAACGCCACATCAGGCCAGACACAGAACTGAAATGGATACTGACACCTAATCTGCAATGTGGCGCCCCCTGTTGAGACATCACCACTATTGAAAGCTTTGTTTAGTATATAATTTAAAGAGCAACCTGTAAATTAAAGTTTAGGCTTAATGGAAAATAAGTAAACTAAATATATGATTTTGTAATTGTGGTTTATTTGTTATGGTCTGACAATGGCTGCAGTGCCCTTTGTGTAGTAAGTGGTAGTATAGGTAGGTTGTCATTAGAGAGTAGATGAATCAGTTACTCATCAGATGCATTATACTGATCAGTCCTTGGTATCTATCCCAATCCCAATGCTATGTTGCTAGGCTAACAAATGTCTTCCGGTTCATCTATGGTGACTATAGTCTATATTGTCTTTTAGAGTTAGTCAGGCCTAAAAATGTTTCGTTAGTCTAGTTTAACCTTCAGAAGCCTACCTGACGGAAGGAAATAGATACCTGACGAATGAAAACTGCCGAATCAGACCAAATTGTACTCTGCTGTCACGGAAGATGAGGAGCTGGGACAGAAAAATGCTAACTGCTACAGAGAGAATCATTTTCATTGCTTTCAACGGCCTGACAGAATGCAGAATTTATGTCCTACTTTAATGTGATTATTTCATGTTTTACCTGTGTCTTAATGGCGTTTTGCTTTATGTGACAGTGACAGTAGAGAGAGATAGGAAAGGCAGGTGAGGGTCCAGGTGAGACTTGAACCCATGGACTGTGTGGTACATGCTCTACCGGCCACCCAACTGTGTATATATCAGGATATTATGTTTCTATCATCAGAATTGTCTAATATTCAGGCTAGTAGGATAAATTTATTTTCCCTGCGATAACTAGATGTGGAATCAAGTATAGGCTATTTTATGAAAAACATAAGAATCAACATCCCTAGCTGTCATATGGTCAGGTTATTTTTCTTTCTCCAATTTTTCTTTGCATTTTAGCATCCTGGCTAATTACTATGTTTGTACAGGCTTCATAAAGCATGTCAGGACACTGCGTTTATAGTTTTCCTAACAGCTAAAGGAGCAGCACTAGCTAGAGATGGGACTGGCTTGCTTATCATGAACGTATTGAGGTGTTAGCATCATATCAAGCAATGGAAATTACAGCTAGCCTACAAAGCTGATGCTTCTGTTTGTACGTAGTGTTACTCTTGCCAGTATTAGGAGGTCGCCAATTGTTTCTGTACTGCCCGGTATGTGATAGCAGACTTCACAGCATTGTGAAATAAGTACACTCGCCACTCGCCAAGAAACCTGCCCAGTTCCCCACTGGTTCTCTTCACATTACAACTCAGTTTGTTGCCACTAGCCCATATGTTTTTTCCTCAAAAACATTTTTTAAGTACAAAAGCAAAGACCCATCAACCTCATTAATGTCAAAAATACCTTTGGATAAATATTTATCATTGTTAATATTGACCCAGCTTGACTGCTCATGTCCAGTTTCTCAATTCTGATGCGGACAGTGTGTTGTATGTATATATAGATAAAGATATAGATATAGTATTTCATTTCCCCAACATTCATTTCTTAAATACGCCAACCTAAAAGTTATTCTAGATCATATTGGTCTTCTGAAATCTTGCTGTGGAAATTTCATTCATTTTCCACTCTGCTGTGTTTCGTGCTAAGCTACAGGTATTTGTTGGCCACATGCTAACAAACACCTTTGCTGTAGCGGAGGTAATCAGACACTTCTGGGCCCCCTTCTGCACAGGCCTGATGATATACACCATAGACCTAATTATCTTATCTGAAAAAATCCCATGGCTTCTTAGTTGGTTCTTGTTCCCTTCATCTCCTCTGTGGAGGCTACAATAACACTTGGGATTATAGTGTGCTATTTAAAGCTCCTATGTGTAGAATTATTGTGACATCATAGAATCTTTGAAATGTTCTGGTGGTGCAGTTTTTTCTATGTAAAAACATTAGAGGTTATTGTTGTGCACTTTTAATTGCCACTGTGTCTTTTCTTAATACTAC